TCTCAGAAAGAGTAAAAATACCGACAATCTAAGCCTTAAAAGAGAAAAGCATAATTTATTGTACCAAAACAACGGGATTTGGGGTGTGTCGGAGAAATGATGCGTCAGTACAAAGTTCAGAGAAAGAATTAACAACAACAACAACAACGGATGATGCAAGCTGAACAAGACGGGATTTCATCAAGGTAGGCAATAGGGAATCTTGACCAGCAGTTTGATAACCTCCGGCTTGGTTGTTTTACGCATGGGATGGACTAGATGACGAAGGAGTTCCATTTTGCATCAGTAGCGAATTAGTGAATGCGTAGTTCCACAACATCAGTCCTCGTATATAACTAAACGCTTTACAGGGGCGACCACCTTTCATGACAATCCCCGTTACTCAGTATAAAATCGAATACGATAAACCTATCTCGGTGGCTCTACAATAACATCGTGTTTGTACGTACTACGTTAATCTTCAACCTGATACTCAATACACTNTACGGATTGTTGAGTGTATTGTGTGGCAGATTGATTGACCTTCGTTTCAGTTTTCGCGGATTCAACATGCAAAAAGACTGACGGCGTTTTAATGCAGATATTTCGCAACATACCAGGTTTCTAGTGAGGAAAGGCGAACCAGCAACACCAAAGTTCGACATACGGTAATGCTGTAGCCGAACCGTCANTCACAGAAATGCTTGACTGCGGTTAGCATACATTTTATCAGCGGGCAAAATTGATCGAGATGAGTAGCGGCGAGAGGAGGACCTTTGGGAAATATACTGAAAAAGTATCCAATCATTTACCAGACTGCTCTAGATTAGCCCAATTGACGACTGGAAAAACTGGGCGGTGTATCAAGGTACCCTTGCACGGTGTAGTTTGAACAGGTTCATTACTGCATCATCTATCTCACCTCATCCTGCAAAAAATTCCTGTTTCCTTTCAGGGTTTCCAAATGAGCTGTGACGAATAGTATTCAGCACTTTTACATGAGGTGAGATGTGTTCTAAATTGAACAAAAATGAACTGAACACTCAACGCTGTAACATGTTTCAATCTTCAGTACGCTGATCGGCTCCCCTTTAAAAAGAGCTGAAGTTCGTACGGAAACTAGTAACCAGAATGGAACAGCAACCAAGAGAATTGAGTTTTTGATTTTATATGCCAAAATAGGAACAGATAGTGACCAAATGGTTGACAACACTTGTACTGCTGTGTCTGTTCAAGATGGAATCAAGGTGAGCTTAAGCAGGAAACATCTGGGACATAATGGACGACGACAATACTGGCATGAATGCATACACCAAATGCGCGAAGAAGCAATTTGCATAAAGGAGCAGACTTACTCCGAGCGATTGCATTTTCGTCACCTGATCCAAAACGAGGGCTTTCAATGGTGAAATCACAACCGTGAGACCGTTCTGTACAACTGCCGGGAGTTGATAGCACAGACTTTTTCCGCCACCTGAAAATAAAGGGAGAGAAATTATGCTTCCTATTGTTTATATCAGCATATACGAACAACAGCCTGAATCCGGTGTATCTAGAACATACTATGAGGTGACGAACAGTAAACAGGTCACGAGGATTTGTTGTTCGGTCCCGGTAACCGGCACTCCATGTCCTGGGAACTGAAGTAGAGAACTACATGAGGATCCACTGATACAGACCTGTTACTGAACCATTTACCGTCAAAGCGATTGTGAAATCACATCCTGTCAGAGTTCAACCCCGACGTATCCTTCAGTCACCCTATACTGTGTTGAGCTTCATCATTGAGAACCTCGCTTCAAACTACTGAGTAGTATGGTTGCGTGTGTTAAACAGAGATGCCAGTGGATCTCTATTCCCTTCCTAAGCGTATCCAATTTAATCGTAATCTGTTTTTTTTTATTTTTGTGACTATTCGCAGTGTCATCAACAAACAGCTCACGATATTCAAAGTTGAACAGGCCGCGAAGCTGAAGTCAACTGGAACACCTACTTACCCATTGATTATTATCATTTATCAGAGCACTGCTCGTCCGGAATAGGGACAAATAAACAAACTCACAGACAAGGTTTATCACTTGTATTGACCAAAATTCTGCTAATCGTATCCTTAGTTTAGTTTTAGGATTTTATTCGATAATATTTTCTCTTTTTCTTCTTAGATGTTTGATGGAGTCAATACAATGAACAAATGATGCACATGAATATATCTGTCTGGTCTCAAATTTCACGACCATAGTCTCCACAGAAATGTATTGAAACAAGACTTTGCGAAATGCGCTCAACACTTTGAAGGTCAAAGAAAGATGTTGCAAATCAATGGAAGTCAAATAAATCTAGAAAGACGGTCATGATAGACACGAACGAACCTGTGGGCATAATGACAAAACAATCGCGCCCCAACAGGGCAGCATTTACAGCTTGAAGCTGGTTACGGCGAAACGAGCGTAAACCGAACAGTTTGGCGAATGCATCCATCATACGAGCGGAGTGCGGAAACCGATCGGTTCCGTCAAATTCCCCCGTGGAACCGTCGTCCTGATGCTCTTGGTGCTTGATTTCATCTGCTTTAACCTCTATATGGGCAGATAAAAGCGGAACATATGGGGGAGTGGATGACTAAGACTACAACATTACACCATTATAGTGGTCAAGTGTAATTTGAAATTCGCAACTATGTAAAAGATGGAAGCGGAATTAACCAGTGTATAGATCGAGGTATAGTGATATTCTGCCCCCAAATGAAAAATATCGATGGCATTTTAAACATGGTGGTAAGTGATGCTTGGAGTAGTGATCATACTTTTGATCCAGAATGGGGTACCAATATCTGGGTTTTACAACTGCCCCAACGGATCAGACAGAAAATGAAGTCTGATTGTGGACAGAAGAAGCCAGACGGGTGATTCTGTAGTTTATTGAAAAGTTCTGGGCTCATAAAGAGATTAGTTTTCAGGGTCAGACTTTTTTCGGACTAGAACGGGTGGAGCCTTTGTCGAAAATGCTGATAAGTTAGTGTTCGAACACCGGAGCCAACGAGGAGCCGTTAAAGATGCTTGGTGTGAAAATTCATGTAATAGTTCTTTATAATGACTTTGTTGTGATATTCAGCAACTGTATGAAGTTGCATAGTGGAGGGAATGGCAATGGTTCGGTCACGTTTAGATCCCATATCTACGGAACTGGTAAGACAAATACACCCTCTTACCGAGCCCGGATTGGTATATTCGCCTTGGTGGACAATTAAAGCACGGCCTAGCAAAGAACAACCAAATGTTGTATGTTGTGGTCTCCGGATTGCATGCGGCGTTATCATTGTAATCAACATGGTGATGGCAAAGTGTATATCATGACCACATGCATAAGAAATTACACCGTGTGTTTGTAAGCATGGAATAATAGTAACGATACTAATCAAAGTAATAATTTATGCTTCATTTAACTGAACAGACAATTGCACATTGAGTTACCTCTGAAAGCCTCAGTATGGTTGGTATGGGTGTCGCGGGTTGTGACTGTACACCTGTCTCTTACACATTAATACCAGGCGTCTCAAACAGTCTCTGCTGAGGAAACCCTACTGACTGGTTCATCGTAGCAGAGGCGTTTTCCCATCAAAGTGAGAGAACGAAAAGCCAATATGAGGGGCTATAACCGGGTCGGTGAACTCGTGGCAGTTCACCTAGGGGGAGTTGGCTCAAAACTGATTCCAAACCAGAAAGGAGAGACGCACGAACCATACACACACACACACACCTTCCTGGTTGTCCCAGTAATCACCGGCTCAACTGGACATTGAAGTGTATTGGTAAACTTGAACATCTAACCCCGTCCAGACGGCGCATGATCCGATGAACAAGACATTGGCCCTCAATGGATTGCGGACTTTGAGCTCCGTTGTGCTATCTTGCAAGTCTGGCTTTCTAGCCGAAGGCTCCCGGTGGACCCCAAGGTTATCCCCTTTGCTCGGCCAGGGCAACCGGGGAATAACATGCCCACACAACCTATGAACACACTTCAGATTTCTTTTTGTTCATATGTTGTGGCACATTTGCTAGTTTTATGTAATTGGTTACGCGTTGAAATTAAAAAAAATACACTGAGTTCAGCATCAGGAATACAGAAACGGTTAATCCAGGAATTGTGAGGGAAAGTTAGATTCGGAAACGATTACCGAGCCAGTGGCACGACTATCCAGACTTCTTAACCATCGCCGCATACGAAGTAAGGTGATCGATGAGATAAACGAATGATGAATGCTATACGATCCAGATAACTCACCCCATTTGCTTATTGCACACGAGAGGGGTTTGAAGGCGCTACCCTCACCACTGTCTGATGTCAGAGCTGGCACGCTGGGTTTGGGCTTTTCCGCCGCAATGCTCGGTTTGATCTTTGCTGATGACTTCGACAAACCTGGGGTCGGTCTGTCCGTAAAACTAGTGAATTTCGTGGGAGGAAACGATTTTTTCTCGTCAACTATTTCCGAGGACCAGCTGTCCTCGTCCGAAAACAGAGGACGGTTCATTGGAGTCCGAACGGAGCATTTCGCACGGTCAACAGAGCCAAGTGTAAAGGGCTGAATTGTGACCAAGGAGTTTGAAACAGGTGACTTAGAAGTGATTACGTGCAAATCAGTGATAACGTAAACTGCATAGATTCAAACGAACATTAAAGACCTGCACAACTCAATAAAAAGCACTAATGCAAACGAAATGGCTGTTTCATATTTCTTCGTTACACACTTCTATGAGTGATCCATAGCGGAAGGATTGGACCTCACAGATATGAAAACGGGATGTTTAATAATGCAAGCCATATAGATTAAGGGTGGCGAACAATCTCAGGAGCTACAAAGAAGGACAAGATGTTACCATGAGTGACAACAAAGCTGTTAGATATAAGCATATTACTGACCTAGATTAAAAGTTTCCCTTTGAAAACCAAAAAGTATTTACACAAGTGTTTGTTTATATAAAGGACACGAATTCCAAGGGAGTGATGTTTGATCAGGAGGTACAGGAACCTGATTGAACTGCACAACGCTCGATTTGATGATATATATATACATTATATATATATATATATATATATATATATATTTCATGNNNTATATATACTTCACTGAATTAAGAACCAAAAATAAAACGATAACGAAGAAACTTCTCATTTAAGAAGAAAATAAAACCCTTCTTCCCCTATCACTAAACGCAAGCATTTCTGGATAATTTGATAGCTAGTGTAGCAATGTTTGGCATGTGTTTTGCACCTTCAAAGTGTAAATTGTTATTGCAGGACTGGGTTGGCCCAGCTTCTAGCCCACACTCTATAAAATGGGGAAGTAATAGAGCAGGTGGACAGATTTTTTTGTTTGAATAGCTATATCCCAAACATCATGAATGAGGTGTCGGCTCGTATACAAAAGGTTTGAATGGGATTCGCGAACCTAAAACAACTCTGGTGCCGTCGCGACATCTGACTGTGTATCAAGGGTTGATTATATGCTGCAGTAGTTCGGCCAGTGTTTTTTACGGCGGAGAAAATTGGCTATTGTGAAAATAAGATTGTCAGTGTTCGAATGACGTTATCTACGCCGAATTGCACCAGTCTTTCGTGGAAGGCGGTCGTGCTGAAGTTAGGTGCGGAGATATAGGTGCTCGCGGTCATCAACTGGAGCACGTGGTTGACTCTCATGGATTACGCTACTTGGGCATGTGTTATGCATCTCACCAAATAGCTTGCCACGGCGGACGTGTGCTGAGGCAGTAAATGGATGTGAATGTGTCAAGGGTGGTTGCTTCTACTTGATTACTTATATTATGAATGATGGTAGCGTATTACATGATATGTTTGATGTGTAAACATACGATTCGAGTCGCGTTTGCTGACACCAGCAGATTGTCGTTTTAAGACGAGTATTTGCACATATATTACTTGAAAGTGTGGGCAGTAACGTTTTCGCAATTTTGGGACTTGGAGTTTACTTGTGGGAGACTTGTCTGTCGGGGTTTCCTAATAAATAGAGAACACCGTTATCTATGCCGCATTGTACTAGTTTGGTGGGGAAACCGAACAAGTAGGGCTGAGGTTAAGTGCTCGCGGTTACCCACTGGAGTGAATGGTAGGCTCCCGCAGATTATGCCATTTGGGGTATTTATGCATCTCACCAAATAGGTTGCAATGGCGCACGATGTTTGCTGAGACGGTTGATAGATGTAAAAAGTTCAAGGCTATTAAAGATATGTCTAGATACGAGGCATGAAAACCTAGACCAGGAAACTCTCACAAAAGTTGTGTTCGATGTTCTGGATTCTTGTAACTTTTTTTATTATACACCTAGGTGTGTTGAACAGCAGACGGGTAAACCCCATAGCCACGAGGACCTGCTGTTCAATGGTTGAAATCAGCAACCTAAGACCCGGAACTTGGAGTGGCGAACCACATAAGGCCCCGATAGGTTATGAGTGTTGATGATATGGCTGAGTATTATAAACAGCGGCACTGGTGCATCTACCTTTTCTTCTTGTACCCTTCGTTGGCATAACTTCCCTGTGTTTCACCTTCACTCTGCTTTCAACATTTCAGTTTTCCTTCTACGCCTTCATCCAAATGGTCGACCAAAAGATAGCAACCAAAACCTCAGCACTAAGGTGCACAGTTAACGATTGGAAAACTGAACTGAACTGAACTACTCCCTAGGGCCTTACGTGGTCAATCTAAGTACAAGGGATAATATGACCTGCCCTCGTGGTTATGAGGTACGTTGCTCCTGCTGTTCATCCCATAATGGTGTCACTGAACGATTGTTTTTAATCGAAAATGTTAGTTCTGAAACTTGGAGTGACAAACGAAATACGCGGTTAGATCGGAAAGTTGGTTTGTTCGGTGAGCGACAGGGAACACGCACACAACAATAACAAACAATAGATCAGGAAGCTTTAAGTGAACTAGGTCATTGGCGTAGCCCTATATCTTTGGAAAAGATCTGTACCACCTCAAGAAAGCTAGCAATTCTCTCCCAGAAAACATACGAGCAAACAAACAAAAGTGAACCACAAAAAAACATGAAAATCACTGAAACAAACCTTTTTGAGAGGAACAGAGGGTTTTGTGATGCTACTAGCGGGGGGACCTTTGATGGCCATTTGGCCGCGTTTAGTGGGTGTCGAGGTTGTTGTAAGAAACGGTTTTGGCTTCTGCAGTGAATGTGTGGATTCTTTATTCGAAGCTTCTAATGAACGCCTATAAACGAAAAACAGGACGGTTATCTAAAAAATGGCGCTTTAGTGACGTACCTTTCAAGTAGAAGTTGTGTAATTTTTGTTGAGTCATTCCCAAAACAAGCCAATAATTTGCCATTGGGAATCGCCTCGATCATATCGCAAACCTCTATCACAAGATTTAAGAAACGTTTTGTAACTGATATGTGATCTGACAACTCTGCCTGCAGGTTGTCGGTTGTTTGTGCATGATCCTCCTTGGTTATGGAGTTCACAGATGGGGAAGAAGGCATCTCGATCACTGGTCTTGATGGGATCTGAGTTGAAGTATAAATCTGTTTGGGGGAATCGACTTTTGTGACGGATAAGGGGAAAGATGATTCGGGAGTAAAACTAGTCTCGTTCAGTTTGGTCACAGCTTGAGTTGCGGATTGGGCATCCTCACCGAGATCACTAAGATAGGTTTCATCCAGATCTGGTGATCGGTCCGGCTCATCAAACCAGGAGGAAGACAATGAGCAATCTATGAATATTTTCGCCAGGTAAAGAGATTATTATAATACTCACGATTGGAAACTGGTTCTGTGGTCGATGACGGCTGCAAAAATGCTCTTGCGGAAAACTTGAGAGGGTTTACCTGAAGTGCTGCCGGCTCACTCCCATGACTGGACTGAAGAGATCCGGAATCCAATCGTCGATCCGATCCGACCGGAGTAGAGAGTGATTCTGTGCTTCCGCTTTTCCTAAGTTCACTTGAAATAAGATTAGTCATTGATGTACCGTAAAGGGACAACAGCTGCGGTAGGAACAAACTTGGAAGTAATTGGTGGTTTGTTCACTGATGAGACGGATGGTCGTTGGTCTACTGCTGATAAAATAGTTTGCCTATTAAAACTGGACGCGTAAACCGAATAATACGTATTAACACCGAACCTAGAAACAAGGGTGCGGGGAGCTGAAGGTGTACTTTTCAAAGGTTTAAAAGTGAATCTGTTCGGAAAAGGTTAAATATTATGCGGTAACTAACTTTTTTCCAGGATTATTCATTATCTTGTAGTGGCTATGGGAATCTGAAAAATAGACAAAAAGGGTCTGAATAACATTACCAATTCATTTTATTTATGAAAAACACAATCGTACATATCATTTTCTGGAGCAGAATGTGCAGATGATGAGTGACGGCAAAGAAGTCCGGAAACGACTTCTGGCCCATTAATATGGTATACCACATGACTATCGCTTGGACACGGCAATCTCTTAGTGGCTGGTTATATACAGTCAGGAACATGTGACCATAGGGATTTATACACTAATGAAAACGGCCACAGGAAACAAATGCGCAGAGGGAAATTATCCACACAAACGGAAATGGAGTTGAAGTTACATCATTATTCAAGAATCTTTTAAACAACTCGGTTAAGTTTGGGTGGTATTTCAACTAACAGACCGTCCCCTTATGCTCCTCAAGAAATATCGTGTACTTGCAGTTTATCCCCGATGGGCAATTCTTTTTCGAAGCATAACTACTCTTATTATCGTGGACTAGGGGAAACAATCGTCCAGAACATTAGTCCTGAAGAAATGACTCACATGGGAAAGCCTTGCTCTCACAAGTGTTAGTGTAAGATGCTTTACTGTATGATTGAAATTACCTACACCGGAACTGCCCGTACTCTGTTAAAAACCCATCAATTCATGTGCACTCAGTGCACTCACAGTTTGATGACCTTTGCCGACCGGATCAGGACTTGCTACGTTCCCCCTCCATGGCCATTCAGTTTGCACTTTTCCGTATTTCCCTTATGATTACCTAACCGCCCCACATAGCAACGTTCGTGTTAATTGTCGTGACCCGTTCATTGTCCAACCTGTTACCGTAATATATTATCTCCACCCCACATGGAAACTGTTTCGTGGTAACTGTCGTAATTGTCGTCCTATTATCGTTTCTGTTATCGCCACCCCACATGGAGCTGTGTCGTAGTAACTGTCGTCAGTCGTTCTGTGCCAAATCCATTATTGTTATTAATTATCTCGACCCGGCCTAGAAACTGCCTCGTGTTATTGTGATCACCTATTCATCTCCCACCCGCTATGATTATCCTACCGTCTTCACTGTTGTCAC